CTACCATCAATGCTAACACTTCCAGCATGAGTGTTTGGGTGTGTGACTTTTGTCAAGCTGTATAAGAAACAGCAAAATAAATTAGATCCTTGTGCAGTTTGCTGTATTTTCTTAGAATATGTTATGCATAAAAAGGGTTATCAATGTATTGATCCAACCATAATAAGATGTATGAAACTGTGAATGTTACCTTTTGGAATTTAAAGCATTCTTCTCATCATTAGTATCCAATTTTGCACTTTAGGGGGAGACAAGGAATAAGAAAGAGTAGAATTGGTCAGGATTAGCATGACAGTTAGATGGAGTTGATATTGATGTTGATGAGACTATAGACATGTCGCTACCAATGATGCTGATGTAGAAGCCGATAAATTCGACAGTGATACATCTCTTGATACTGTTGATATAACCTCCTCTGTTTCAGTACCTGACTATTCATCTCCTGAGAATATTTTTGCGGTAAGTACTATGATATCCTAGTATTTATTTTGGTACTACTGGTTGTGATAGGATGTGAAATTGTTATTCAATTTATGTTTATTTTCCCTTTTATTTTAGCCAAATATTGTATTAATTAATGGATTCTACTTATATTTGGTTAATGGTGCTAATTGTAGAAAAATAACCAAAACATGATTAAAAGGGGCAATTTCTAGCTAATTTGGTGGCGGCACATTCAAGTCCAGATTCTCGGGATTTATTGCACGTGAGTGGCTTCCAAAAATGCATCAAGTAGCTGGCTAAAAATTAGGAAGCTAGTGAGCCACTCCCAAGAAAAAGGAAAGCTGAGGAAGTTGACTTGTAATAGAGCTTTCTTTTTAGAAGTTGATCGGTATTAGGATACCAATCAATTAGGAGTCAAAGTAGGAAGAAATCGTGGGACATTGATTCATCAATTGTGGTGGCTAGAAACGAAAAAACAGAGCATTGTACTTGTCTTTTGACTTTTTCCTTTTGTGGCCGACTTGGGAGGGACATCAGTTTTTCTTCATGTTTGGCTAGGAAACGAAATAGCAGATCTAAATTATTTTAACTGTTTCTTTCATTTATTGGTATTTGTATGTTTGCTGCTTTTGATTGTTAAAGCTATTATGTATGTTTGAATAGTTGCGCAATACTTAATTATTCATGTAGTCTATTTGCTAATTGGAAGTAGTTAAATCCGTAATTGTTCGATTACTTCCGTCCCGGTAGCAACTGGTATAATTGGGTTTATGTCAGAAAAACATACGATCTAATTTAAACAAACTCTCGTTGCGTGTTTGTTAGTTAGAGTTGGATTTTTCTAATTCTTAATGCAATCTAAAAATTAAATCCCACCGTTATACCTAGGGATATTTTCTGGTTAGAGAAATAGTCAATGGTCGTACCTTGACTATCGAAAAAGTAAGGAGAGGCTGGTTATTTATCGCGTGTATGACAGCTATAACCAATCTATGGATAAATGTTGGAATTATATTTGAATCGATGATCAGTTGCATAAACCATTTTTGAAGTGTATCTTTGGCGAGAGTTTCCCTGAATATTTCTCTCAATTAATTATTTTTCGCATTTGATTTATCTAGTTAGCAATTCATTAGCATTGAATACTAAAACCTCCCGTTTGTCTTAACTCGAAGGAAATAAACTTTTCCCCAATCCCTGAGGAGACGACCCTGCTTGTCACTGTCTACTAGTTAGTAAATTTTATCAGTTAATTAATTCTGGTATATTGGATTAAGCAAACTCTTCGAAACCAGGGTGAATCAAGTAACCCATTGCACATCTAGAATCCCTACTCCAGTACTTGAAATTGATTATTGACTGCTTTTGGTGGTAGTTAGGTTTTTTTATTATTATCGCACAGACTTGGCACCTGTAAGGTTGATATGTGTTACCTAACAGGTTCAATCGTAGCAAGCCATCAAATCGATATTCTTCAGAAGCCTATGCAAAACAATCCAAATGCCCTATTACAAATTATGTTTCAATCCACTGATTATCAGAGTCGCTGGAGGCCTTTGTATATAATGTGTCATCAGTCGATATTCCAAATGACATGCATGCAGCTCTCATAGATCCAAATTGGAGTCAAGCTATAAAAGATGAGATGTTAGCATTGTAGAAAAATGACACATGGACATTAGTCTTACTATCAAAAGGAAAGAAAACTGTAGGATGCAAATGAGTTTACACAATTAAGTATAAGGCTGATATAAAACCCGGCTTATAGTTGAGGGGTGTACCCAGACCTATGGCACCAATTATCAAGAGACATTCTCACTAGTGGCAAAATTGGATATGGTCAGAGTTCTGCTCTCTCACTAGCAGCCAATTTAGATTGGTCGCTGTATCAATTTGATGTAAAAAAAAATGCTTTTTTGTATGGTGACCTTGAGGAAAAGGTATACAAGAATATTCCATCTTGATATTCTACAACATTAGAGACAAATGATGCCTGCCACTTGCAAAAAGTATTTGTATCGAGTTAAACAATCACCATGTATTTGGTGTGGTCAATTTACTTTAGTAATAAAGAAATATAGTTTTCAGCAAAGTAACGGCAACCACACTCTATTCTTGAAGTATTGACTTGGTGGGGCAACAGCTTTGATAATCTATGTCGATGACATGATTATCATAGGTAATGATAAAGAAGAGATATCTAAGCTACAAGATCAATAGATAGTTGAATTTGAAATGAAAACTTGGGGAATCTCAAATATTTTTTTGGAATTGAAGTGGCAAGATCGGCAGAAAGCATCGTCCTTTTTCAGTGGAAGTATGTTTTTGATCTCTTAGTAGAAGTAAAGTTACTAGATTGTAAATCTACTGGCAAGCCGATTATACAGAATCATAAACTTGGAGAGTATTTGGATTATAAACCAACCGACAGAGAAAGATATTAGAGGTTAGTCGTAAGTTGATCTACATGCCCCATACTTACCCCGATATTGCCTTTGCCATTAGTATGGTCAGCCGATTCATACATTCAGCCAATAAATGGCATGTGAAAGTTGTGATGCGGATCGTTCAATATTTAAAAGGATTCTTCTAGAAAAGGTCTCCAATTTTTCAAGAACAACTATCTCAATATTGATGGTTATCCTAACGCTGATTGGGTAGGAGACATTGTCAATCAAAAATCAATTTCAAACTACTTCACCTTTGTCAGTGGTAATGTGATCATGCAGAGTAAAGAGATAAAAAGGTGTTGTCTTTGTCTAGTGTAGAAGCAGAATTCATAGGGATGGCAAAGGATGTGTGCGAACTGTTATAGGTTAAGAGAGTAATGACCGAGATCGGCTTTGCTCCAAAATAAAAAATGAACATGTTCTATAATAATAAAGCTGCCATCGACATCAGCCATAATCTAGTCCAGCATGACCGTACTAAGTACATTGAAGTGGTTCGACACTTTATCAAATAGAATTTCGAAGATAAGGTGATACGATTCTCATTTATGAAGTCTGAAGATCAGTTGGCTGACATACTCACAAAAACTGCGTCGACTAGGAACTTCTACAACTCGCTTGACAAGTTGGACATGTACGATATCGATGCACCAATTTGAGGGGAAGTGTTGGAATAAGTTGTAGATGGTAGGTGGTAGGTGATAATTGTAATTATATTGTTTAAATTTAAATGTGTATCAATTATGTATTTGATTAGGATAATTATTATCAATTAGGTGGTTGTTAGCTGGTAGAATAATTACTATCCTGTTGTAAGCCTATAAATAAATAAATAAATATATATATATATATATATATATATATATATATATATATATATATATATATATATATATATATGAGCATATGGGCATTGTACCATTATAACTTTAAGAGAGAGAACAATACAAAAAATTTTCCCAATCTCTTTCTTCTAGTTTCTTTTCTTTTTAACATAGTTACCAATTCATATTCCTGAACAAATTTTTTCTCCCTCTTCTATCAAGTTTTCCTAATCACTCTGTCTTATTAACCAATCAAATTCCTCAACCTGACAGTCCACAGCAATCAACAAATTCAATAGAATTCTTCTTTGATCTCTGTCATAGCACCCACAACAATCTGATAATTTTTGAACCAATTTTATGGTCTAATCTTCATCAACTAGATAGTTTAGGACTAATCTTGTGATTTAATTCGATCAACTAAGTATTTTCTAGCAAACCTTGCGCTCTAATTTTCTGACAGCGAAAATGTCCAGACCTATTCTCATAGTCTCGTGATACCAATTCTACAACCCAAATTCAGGGTTCTAATAATAATTAATGTGTGTGAGGTTACAAAATTGAATGAATAAAATAATCACTATGGGAGAGAAGAACATAAATAATTTGCACTATTATTGAAATTTCAAGCCATGAAAGAAAGTCTCACTATAATAAAACCTTACAAACACTACTGGACTCTCTTAAGAAAAATACTTCCACTCACACCCTATTTATAATTTACTAAGATTTGTAAAATAAAAAATCACTTGTATAAGAAATTACTAAATAAAATTACCAAATAAAACACAGACTCCTAAATAACACAACTTCTAAAAACTTGACTTTGATAAAAACTAATAAATAAATAAATAAAAACTTCTAAACTTCTCAACATATACCTCAGGGGAGAGGGAACCGAAATTTTGCGTTTTAAATGGAGACCAAAGTTGCAGCTTCGAAGCTCGCCAAATCGCTCCTCACTTTTCCAATTCAGATTTTGGTCCTTACCATCTCCAGAGGGAGGTGGTTTATCTAGTACATTCAGGCAAATCATCCTGCAATAATCCCAACCCTTTTGACTTGAGGAAACTCAATAGATGTTCACCCCTCTCACTCTCTCTCTCTCCCCTTGAACAAAGAGGAACCAGACAACATCAAGAAAACAAAAGCTTGTTGCTCCAAAATGAACAGTCAACTCAAATTTTTCGAAACATCCAACGTGCCTACCAAATATTGCATCTAGTTTTCCAGTTGCAAAGTTAATCCCATTCAGATGCAAATCTTGAAATACACTCCATAATAACTAGAAAGCTAATGATCGCAATATTATTGCAGCTCTTAATTTAACAGGAATATATACTATACATGAACTTGTTCGATTTCTCAAAACAGAATTTCCCTTGGTAGTAAACCAGGGAATCCGCAGTCCATTTTTCAATGTCCTCCTCTCCTTGATCGGATAGAAAGTTGAAAAGAGAGAATATACAGGTCAATGTACAAAAACAACAAAAAAACAAAAAAATAGATTAGTGCCTTGACATAATTATTGAACAGGGACTTCTAATGCCTCTTTGCCAATGTCTTCTTCAATCCCATTAAAATCTTCCAAAACCATACCGAATTCAAGACGATAAGGACTGATGGAACCCCAAGAACCAAGCAATGTCCAAATGTCTGCATCTGCATCACCTGTTGCAAGACAAAAGACACCATGTCATCCACATTTGTAGACGTAGAACTTCGTTTAAATGTTATTTTGAACAAATGGCCAACAAATGCAACCCAACAGTTGGCAGATAACAGCGATTTGTCAACAGTGAGAGTAAAGACTACATTAAGAAAACAGAAACTTGCATTTTCTGAGATCACGTCCCATGATGATCTAATTACAAAGGTCAAACTCCATGGTTTGTTGCTATTACCTTGTCATAATGCACCCATATGTGATAAAACAAGTACAAAAACAGCAACATTCTAGCAACCTGCAGAGAGTTACCGAGGACCGTCAAGTAGGAAAGTATAAAACAAAATACATCAAATACAGAGTTCGAATCTCGTCTTAAATCATGTAAGGAGTAAAAAAGGAATAATATTCAACTGTCCAATAACGTCTATTGTTTTACTCACCACCCAAGCCAAAAACATCACAACCCCATTGATGAGATATGCCCTAGATGTCTTCATTCCAGCTGCATCGAGATACCTTCTCAAGGTAACACACAAAAAATAAATAAATAATAAATAAATAATGAAACAGATCAGGGTTCTTCATTAAAAACTAGTAAGACAGTGCTTCATGCTGTTTCCAGAGTATCAAGAATCAAACGTAACAGTACCATCTTAAATTGATGGAAGGGGTTGTTGCCTCGGAAATTAAGACCATATATGTATAAATCTGTCCTTCACCGGTCACCATTGCGTAGATCACAGATAACATGGAAAGAAGATGATGAGCCACCTGAAACAGCATCAGGAATATGTCAATGACTGGCTAAATCACCACCTAAGAACTTTTCTTAATGCAACTTTCAGGTGACAAAATTTTATTATCCGAAGTTCAACTACCGAACTTATGCTTTTACAAGATCGCAAGAAACAAACTGTAGTATCAGCAAACAATTGCATTTGCATCAAAAGGAAATACACTTACATACTCCAAACCACCGAGAGAAGGATATAACCAAATGATCATTCCCAGATCGCTAAGGAAATAACCAATAGAAACCTGTAAAAAAGACAATGGCATGTGTGAAGACAATATTTGACAACATATGCGCAAACCATTAGAACTTAAGGAAGCACGGAAAAACTATATAGAAATGCAGCAAAATTTGTGATTGAAAACACTGTAAAATGGTTCCAACTCTTGGCAAAGTTTCGTTTCTCTTTCCCTTGATGATACAGGCATCCATCGGGAAGTACACGAGCATCTTCATTTACATTTAAAAAAACAAAAAAAAAAAAGCAAAATTTTATTGCCATTAGCTCATTAGATTCCAATAAGATGTTTTCAGGCTCCCCAAGAATTGTCATCAATTTACATTACAAGCGACTCTACAAACGCCTCACATCCCACTGTTTCAACAGTAAAACTTAAAATTCAGAGGGAAAAAAAATGCCACATACCAGCACGTGATTGCCAAAAATTTGCTAATAAATTCTTAGGGTAATTCTCACATGTCCAGAGTATCACATACCAAGGTCTGAATTCCAGGCACTGTCCTCATCCCTAGATATTACAATATCAACAAATCTAAAACCTAGACATACACTTTCACCTCAATCTCTGCAACATACTCGCATCTCAATCTCTGCAACATAGCTAATCTCCCGATTGAGTATTTCATCAGATCAAATTTTCATCCGATCACTTTCCAGAGAGGTTAAAGTGCACTACTAAGCCATGACAAGGTCCGTAATTGGGCCAGTGAACTGAAGCCCAAGGACTATATTGTCTTAAAAGGCCAGAAAGTGCACAAAAACCCCACGTTTGGTTTTGAGAGGCCAATGTCATAGCTTTTCTCAAGTCTATAAGATTAAACAGCAAAATTCAATTCAAGATTGAGTCAAGGGAGAATGCTCTGCTCCTGCAGCTTATGTATTGTGGATACTTACCCCATCAAGGCAGATGATGCACCGCTTTAGGCTTATAATTGGCCCAAGTCAAGTATCCTTATGGAATATCTAGCTACCTTTACCATATTTCACTATGTTAAGCAATATATGAGTCATAAGCAACAAGACATGGTAGAACAAGCAATCAATCAAGACTGCAGAAGCAATCTTATGTGGGCATCTCACCTAGAACTGTTAAATTCCTTTAAAGATGCCCAAAAATTAGTTTAATTGGAAATCCAAATTCCATATGGAAAAAGAAATTTCCATAAGATGCCCAAAACAGCTAAATGTCAAAGGTCTTGAATGTACTTTCAGCCATGTCAAAAATCTACTGGTCAATATACAAAATTATCCAATTTGAAATCCATAGTTTCCCCAGCAATGAAAAGTGCCCAACTGCCACTATTCAGCTCGTGGATACAAACATTCTACCAGTTTGCTATCTTGTCACCTCCACAGAGCTAAAGTTTAGTCACTTGCAAGTTGTACATTTGATCTCCTAAAATCTGATATTTGTGACACTGCCACAAAACTCTGACACAGGCATGTGAATATGCTGAACATGCATCTCAACTCTCTAGCTGTCAGATACTACCTCCTAAAATTTGTCATTCTGGTGCACTGCCACAAACTCAGACAATGTATAGATTAACAAGGAAAATTGTCATCCAATATTTGTTAAACCTAAAGTTGGTTTGTCAGGTTTTACATGCAACATATGTTTTACTGCTAGACAATGAGAGATGTGCTTGAAGAGAGTTTCTTGCAGTTGACTGAATGCTATAACAAACACCGCCAGGATTATATTTATTTAAAAAAAAAATTCCTCTCATACACCTCACCATAAGAGGCCTTGGCAGCTAAAGCTAGACCACATTAGATAGCACAAAATGGTTCAAATTGAAAAGAAATATCCCTTTTTTTGGCAACAATTGGAAAGGACTACGATTGTTTGCTTTGCTCAAAATATGCATAGTCAATACAGATGGGCTGGTTCATGATAACAGGGTAATTTGTTATCCTAGGGCGCAGGGAGTCTCATGCTTAAATCCAAGCTGGGTTTCTCTTTTTTCTTTTCCTTAAATTACCAATAGATATCAGCATTCTAAGCTTGATATACATTCAATGTCGTGCACTTCACAAAATAGAATGCAAGTTCAACCATATTCTGAGTGTGAGAATTAAAGAAACCCCCTTCCCTCTCTTCCAGGAAAGCAAAGGGAAAAAACCATGTAACGTGCCTAAAAGATAGGAGGTAGTTCACAGACATGAACCCTAACGAAACAGAAATATTTTAACTTTGTGTGCATGTTTAACTGACATCAATGTGTTTATACACCAACATCCATAGATGTACTTCAGGTAACATTGACCCTTGGGTTGTCTTACATTTAACAGCATTTTTTTTTCCATGTGAGCATTTCCCCATCCACCACCTTGGCCTACCCTTAATAGACTACCCTTAATAGACAGCCCTTATCACTATGACTTTGCTTTCCTGTTGGCCTTCAATAAAAACATGGGAAATATTACTAATTTAGAGTGTTTTCAGAATAGAGCTAAGTACAAAGTCAGGATTGTGGGGATCTAGTAAATATTTTATCCAGAATTTATCCACTTCTGTCAGTTCTAAGATCAGTCGATCTGTAAGAATCTTATATGAGACAAAGAGTATCATTTGAGACAACCATAATAACCTATACTATGGAAATACTCGATGGCATCCTAAATAACTCTCTCTCAAGTAGCTCAATTGAGGTAAATTATTAGTTCAAAATGTACAGCTTCAAATGCAATCTACTTTAAGAGATTTCACAGCACAGGTAACTGACTGAGAAGTGGAACAAAAAACATTTCTTCAAAAAATGGGCTCACAAAATCCTTCTCCCATTGCTTGACCTCTTCAAATGAATCCCATTGATAAACTGTTTGGGAACATTAATGGGAGTGTTTGGATAACACAAATATCTCAAATAATATTTCGCTTGCATCATAAACACATTTCCCAACTCACCTTTTTATATTCCCAATTATCTTTTTATCTCACATACATCACATCACAAAAAGTGCTACAGTAATTATTCCAAATAATACTCTATCCAAATTCAATTTTCTTTCTTTTTTTTTTCAACTATGTGAAAGAAGTAGAAAAACAGAGATTAGTAGTACTCTTTCACTGTCATTTTAAAATATTATTTTCAACATAGTTATTGAAATTCTACTAGTTGTTTGAACCTTTCCCACATTGTTCTGTACTAAAATGCTTTATAATTCTGCCTATTGTTAAGCATGCACTTGCACTGTTCACAAACAATATGCTAAAATCAACATGCACTTGCACTTTCCCATGGATGCTTTACTGGCATCAAGAATCAAATTCAGTTCAACGAGTAACAGCATAAAAACAATCAACTACATTTGGAATTCATATGTGAAATAAACAAGTCTACATTTCCTTGTGTGAGCTAAGACTAGTTTACATTAATGCAGTAATCACAGAATACTTTCTTGAACTCCCACAGCAATATGGTACTAATTTGTGCATAAGTTATAGGGGCCAAAAATTTTGTAACTCAAAAATTATCATTCCATGTATTCCCAACCAAGTCAAAATGCACATAAACTCCAATAACCGATTGTTGTATTTATTTTTAATTTATTATTTATTCATTTTTCAGGGCAGCGGGTGGGAAGGCAGAGGGAATGGGTGAACGTGGGAAGTTGTGGCAGTAGTGGTCTAGCATGGAAGTCAGAAACATACAAACGAAAAGGAAAAAACTTACACCCAAAGGAAATGTAGACAATTTTGAATGTCGAAGAGTAATAGCAGGAGCAAAACGATCATCGGAGTACAGATCTGACCAGAATACAAAGTAAAGTGACATGGTTGTGATGAATATAGCATGGAAGGTTGATATGGCACTGCATCATAGATAGGCACATATAAGGATACAACAGAAAGGAAGATCACTGTAATTGAACAAGACGGAAAACCTTGATGGGAAATGGAATAATGTCAAGGAATATATCTACTTACCGGTTGTTCCACTCAATCTTTTTAAGTTTCGAAAGTCTAGAATAGCTCTTCAAGTAAGCTGCACTAATGACCTGGCTGAGATCATAAACCTGAACAACATAGAACAAATCCAAAATCAAGAAAAACAAATGTAAACAACCTAAAATGGAACAACAAAAAGGAAACTTCTTGCCAGGATGAACATGCTCCCCAAAACCAGTACTATATTCTGATTTTAGACAGCTCAATATGACAATCCACCACAAATGTACACAAGAAAGCAAACAATATGCTGAAAGTGAAGTTGAGAAAGGCAAGAAGTGTTCGTACCATCTTGCAAGCACAAATGCTGCCAATAATAGATGTGCACAGGGCATAAGAATCTGCATGCATATAGTTCCGCAGAAGTAGCTCAGCTTGGGTTGCGTAGGACTTGATCGCCATCTCTGCAATTGCACAGTCACAATTATTTCCTCAGACAATTGCTCAGTATCTGGGTTCAGAATTTCAGACAATTAAGTGCATTTCTTTTTCCATCTTATGGCTAACAGAAATGTGATAGTAATTCCTTCAGAGATAAAACAACAATGACAGAAACAGGGAAAACAATCTCTGCTGAGTTTCAAACTTCCTAACTTCTGAGCATTCAATCCCAAATCTAACAAAAGACAACTACATCATCTGACATAAAAGGTACTCCATGTTTTTTCATCTAAAAATTCTTGCAACATAATAAATGTGAAAGAGCACTTAAAGATTGCATTTTTTTTATCAGTAGACTACAGAAATCACAGTCAACTTGAGCTGCATATTGCTAGCAGGAGGCTACAAAATTCACGATCACCTTGAGCAGGATATTCTGGACAATTACAACTACTTATTTTTTGAAATTGAAGGCCAACAATGAACATGGTCAAGCTAATAAAAACATCATCAGCTGACTTTCCAATAGATTAAACCCAAATAAATTTTTTTAAAAAGAAGACTTTTTTCAGAATTTTCTCATCGACAACATCAAATATTGTTCCGCGAAACCAAATTTCAGCATCCATAACTAAACATGATTCTAATCCAACAGTCATAACCTCAACAGCATATTACGAACAATCAGCTCCAATTAAATTCAATCCTCAGCACATTCTTTTGACATAAAAAATTCCAGCCAACATAAAAGAGTAACAACAATAACTTCAGAATGCTAAACTTAAACAAATTCGCAATTTAAAACAAAACCCAAAAAAGAGTAACATAAAAAGACTTCTTTTCCCTTTCTCTTCAGCCCTGCAGTGTTCCGTATTCATCTTCAATTATAATCAATATACTTAAAATCAAATATCAACTTTGCAATCAACAACCAATCTTCAACACCAACTAAAAAATTTAGTTCCCCCCCCCCACCCAAAAAATCCCAAAAAAAAGCCATATATGTATTTTTCTCAAAGAATATCAGAAAGCCCAAGAAGAATTCAACAAAAAAAATACCCATAAAAAAATATCTCTGCTCAGGCAAGACAATCCCAACTGAAAAATTGGAAGAAAATACAGATAATCATTAAATACAAAATGGGGTTGTCCTGTATTACCTTGAACAGAAGGATTGATTGTCCTTTTGAACAGAAGGATTGTGGAAGAGGGAAAGCAAAACTCGCACGAAAAATAATTGAATTCAAGTCAAGTTAGTCTTAGTATACAAGAATAAGTGTTGTTTTACAAGTACTTGTTCATACGGAAAAGAGTCTGGAGAACCAAGAATTGGCATTGGTCCAACTGCTCTTCCAACTCGAGATTTGTTTTTCTAGAATTATCTCCTAAATTGCTCATGCACGTTTCTAAAGTGTAAAGAGAGGTTTTTTTCAGAGGTGCAGAGAACGAGTAGAAGTTTAACAACTCAGCATGGGACCCATTCGGCTATTTTGGGTGGTAGATGAACCTAATGTATACATAGGAATGGGCGCTGGTCGGGTACCCGCTCCATTCACCATTTGACTGATCCGACCCACACCTTGCGGGTCAGCCATTTTCTGACCCTTACCCGCCCCGAATATCAGCGAGTACCCGTTATCAGGTACCCGCTGAGATAGGGTCAGATCAGCGGGTACCCGTCCCGCCCCGTTTATCATTTAAAATTTTTAAAAAAAATGATTTATACCAATTTAATTTTATATTTTACACATTCATCTAAGATTTAATAATTTTTTTTTTCTAAAAAAAGTTTTCCCACCAAGAAACAAGCATATGAAGAGAATATAAGATAAAGGAAAAAAATTAAAAGAATTCAAAATCAATAAAAGTTTGAAATAAGTAGCACAATTTTTAATATATATATTCCACATTAACTAAACATTTTTCTATAAAATATAAGATCATGACCTTTACAAATGAATCTTGTAAATAAACTATAGTCTCTCATATTTTGTAATGCAATTTATTCAATAAAATTATTTATTTAGTTCTAACTTATTATTGTATAGTGTGTGTATAAAAATAAAAATAAAAATAAAAAAAAATATATATACATATGCGGGGCGGATCGGGTATCCGCGGGTTTTTAATTATGTGACCCTAACCCGCCCCGCATCTTAGCGGATACCCGACCCTCTTTTGACCCGATCAAATAATAAAAATCGGATATCCTAATTTTCGGATCGGATCGGATCGGATGTGACGGGTTTTCGGGTTAGCGAATAATTTTGCCCACCCCTATGTATACAAATATCAACTCCTTGAACTTAGTCCCCAATTGCATTTTACCTTCTAAACTTTTCTAATAGGCACTTAACCCCCTTTCTGATTTTTTGGATAAACGCACCTTTACTTTATTTTGCATTTTACCTTATAAACTTTTCTAATTGGCACTTAACCCCCTTTTTGACTTTTTTTTGGATAAACACACCTTTACTTTATTTTTGGAAAAAAAAATACAATTTTGATCCCCAAAATTTGGTAGAAGAGTGATTTTATTCTCCGAAATTTAGGTCAAAGCAAATATAATCCCTAATATCTCAAATTTGAAGCGCGCGCATGTGCGCACACACACACACACATATATATATATATAGGATGATTGATTGATCTCATCGAAATGGATTCACATAGCTTGGTTAAAATGGAAAACAAAAAAAATCATGATACTAAAGTTTAATTACTCACGTAACCACATGTGTGTAATTAACACCCTATTTCAATTTGATTAAGCACTTGAGGTTATGGCAGTTACAAGTTCAATTTTGGGGACAAGTATATCATGATTTCAAATTTCAATTTTGCTAGAGGTTTTTAATCTTAAGCTATTTCTCTTTTGATAGCCCAAACGCATCCAAATTTCATAACAAGGGCATACATATCTTGTTTCTTCATGTTTCTATAATTTTGTTTGGCTAATTTACCATTTCTTTTTGTATTGTGGTATTCTATTACATAATTGATGTATATGTAAATGTATACAAGTTTAGATGCATGTATATGCAAGCATAGCAAACACTGAACTTTCATAGTTTAAATGCTCACTTATAATTTTTAGGTACTTCATACTTGCAATCCACCATCTTTATCATGTAGAGTTGTCAAAATGAGAGTAATTGACATAATTATGCCAACCCAATATACCTGTTTAATAAATTGATCAAAATATACAGGTAATAAATGGGTATGGTCTTATATGGGTGTAGATCATCTAATTACGCATTTATGATCATTTAAAAAATTTATTAAAATTCTTTTACACATGTTGTTTAATAACAAATAACAGTTGGATTGCATTTTTTTAGATTTTTTGTTGAAAAATTGCTGTAACGATTTGATATATGTGAGGTAAAAAGGTGATTGGAAAATGTGTTCACGGAAAACGTAGCAATTTTTCTTTAGAAAATTGCTGTCCAAACAAGGATGTAATAAAAAAAAAAACTAAATACATATCAAGTTAGTAAAGGAATTTTTTTATCCAAATAAAAATGAAAAGGAAAACCCAATTAAAACTTTATATAACAAAAAAAATGGCGATCATGGCGAGGTTCAAATAATATCATATTACTAAATTTGAAAATATTTAAGCATTAATGTAAGAAATCAATAAACAAAAGACTTGAAGGGTTTGCTTGAATTTCGAAAGGAGGGAGGAAGAACGAAAAGGCAAACAATAAACAAAAAGGAAAATAACAAGTAAATATATCCAGAGAACTTTAACAAATATTTATTGGATGGTTGGGAAATTCAAATTTACCTACTCAAGTCCTACTAAAGGAGTTTGAATCTACACTCTAGTTTTGAATGAGTCTAAATAGATGATTTAGCTTCACTCACTAATTAAATGTATTTAATTGAGTCACTCATTTAGATCTAATTAAAAAAATTTATTGCACACATATCCCATTTACTTGTGGACTCAAGTGAATCCACTTCAATTGAGTTAGCATTGACACCTATAATCTTAGGCATGACTACAAGTGAGTCATTGGTCGATCTTCAAAACTATGCAAAATTTTCTATCTTTAAAATGTTCAATTGTTGTAGTTTATGTCTAGCATTCTAAACATGTTTCAATTTTACATAAATCATTTCCAATTTCGACTCGATTTGATTATTGTTCATTTGCACAAATCCACATGAATCGACTAAACTTTAAACAGTATATCATATTGGCAAATTTTCCTAGCCTTCCCACCCTATTTAAATTACTTGGTCCACTTTCCAGTTACTTGTTACTTTTACTGCATACCTAAAAAATGCCCACAATTCCTAGATGGGCATATGGTTGTTTTCAACAATACATTGCAATTTGTGGTCCCTTATTGAAATTTACATTGCTTTTGTTGTGGGTCCTTGCTACACCTGCACAGAAAACTCATCATGGCGCCATAAATGAATTCATCACCCACAATAATGGATTGTTTCAGGATTCAGGTGTACGAGAACGTTCCACTCTCGAAAGAGAAAAAAAACGAGAACGTTCCTTCTCATATGATTCTTTTGGTTGTGTCCCGTCCGTGTTAATTTTGGGCCCCAATTTCCCATACGAAGCATCCTTTTTTGGAATTGTCTTCAATGCTCTGCCGGTTGCGATTTTAATTTTCCCCGTATAGTAGGTCCGCTTTCACGCTAAACTGCTCATATGAGATGCTGAACACGAGGCACGGACAGTCGTTATTAATAATCGTTCAAAATAATACTCTTTCCGTCCCACTTTAATAATTTTATTTTCCTTCTTCGTCTGTCTCAAATTGTAGTCCACTTTTCCATTAAAAAATGTAGTAATCTTTCAAATTATCTAAAATACCCTTATTAAATATTTTGTTATTAATACATTGTTATTAAATACTAACCCACTACATTGAATACATTGAACTTTTCCAATACTAACCTATTAGCTGTAACTGATATTAATTGGCACTCTTCGTGATTAGCATAAGGTTATTTTAGAAAATTATTAATCTAAATTTATGTTTCCAACCAAATTAATTACACTTTCTTAATCTGTGTGAAAAAAAAAATCAAGACTAACAAAATGGGACGGAGGGAGTATACTCCTTCCATCCCACTTTGATAGTTTTGTATTTCTTTTTCATCTATTCCAAATTATAGTTCACTTTCTAATTGAAAAATGTAATTGTATTTTAATTTTTCTAAAATACCTTTATTCAATGTAAGTAATTGTTACTATAAACCAAACCCATTTAATGAGAGTTAATTCTTTTTTTATCACCAATTCAAGTTCCCATAAAGTTGTACCATATTTAATGTGAGGGTATTTTAGAAAAATAGCAATCTAAATTTACTTTTCCAACAAAGTTAATTACTTTTTCTTAAACTGTGTGAAAAAAAAAATCAAAACTATCAAAATAGGACAGAGGGAGTATAAATACTTTTTGAACGCCTTATAATTCAATGTGAACTACTTATACAATTTTATAATCGACACATATTATGTGTAGGACTCGTATGAATAGTAATAAAATGTTACACTACTATTTTTTAAAAAGTGTAACACTATTTTGGGTGCCCCATGTCCGTCGTCTCTGATGCGAGTGTTTACTATAAAAAAATGATTAAACGATTCCAAAATAAGTTTGGTTGATGCTCCCAACGGTTCTTTTGACTCTAAATGTGCGACTCACCAAAATAAGTTCTTTTGATCTTGACCAATATGAGACTCATGAACTCAGCAAAACCACAGGCAATGCTGGTGGTAGGGTTGCCTGGGGTGTCATTGGTCTGCAGGGCTAAAGACTGACCGTTGCTTGTGATCAATAGTAGTCGAAATGGGAGAAGAACTGAAGTAAATATGGGATTCTGCTTCTTGTAGCAGTTGAATGTATTCTCAGACTATGTTCTTCTTACCATTATAATTGAGTCATAACACTAATTTGTCCCAAAAGAGTCTAAAGAATTCGCATGCATACAACTGGTGTGTATACATACATACATACATACATATATATATATATATATATATATATAAAGAGACAGAGAGAAATAGTAGACTAAACAGGGCCAAATACTGCTTTTTTTTTTATGTTTTTCATGAATATTCCTTCTACACAATTTTTAATCACCATTTTTACCTCATATACATGACACGCTAAACAAGTGTTATGGTAATGTTTCCATAAAAACTCCCCAAAAATACAATCCAAACGGTCTACATCTTTAAGCGAAGATGAGAGATCATATCCATAGAAAGTCCAGTAGATTCTTTAGCATGAAAGTCCATTTTGGACTTGGATTTTTGGCAAATATTTTTGTAGAAAACAAGGGATAAGATAACTGTACGGTTCAGAATTGTCCGACGAAAACAGTTTGAAAAGAACAAATAATGCCTATTTGAAAAAAAAAAAAACCTAATTAACCGTACGAAATATCCTTGTGTAGAATTTATCAATTAATCTATTGAAAATATTTGTGTTATATAATCAAGGATCGATGAACTTAGTCTATGAATGAAATAACCTCAACAAAATTGTAAACAATTCCTGATAGGTAACCAATACAGTAGAAAAATAAAATTAATTGGAGTTCAACAGTTTTCTCACAAGACCTAACCAACACACTACCTATACCTAATGGTTTCAACCAACCAATCGACTGCCAAACCCAAATTTTGGCATAACATGCAATTTTGGTCCAAAATTTCATCAAACATTATCAGAAAAACTAAAACCTTTGTTGTTTTTTTTCTAAATAAACACCAATTAACTCAACTTTTACTCTAAAAGAATCTATGGGACAGAGGCATATTACGAATCCAATTCAGCATTAGGCCAAATTTAGGACAATGAAATTAAACTAGAAGTATGGTTTAGGACCTAAATGCAACACTTTTGGAATTTGATGGCTAAAACAGTTTAAATTGCAAATGTGGAGGACTATTTTGGAAAGGAAAGACAATAATACAGTTTAGTTTACCTACGTTAAACAAAAGCTCATAAATTGTTTACACATTCATGATTAATGTTGTAAATTTGTCAAAGAATTTTCAATGGATTAGTATAATGAAAAGCAATTTGGTGCTAATTTTTTCTTCTAGGGCTGGAGAGCTCCCCCATGCCCCATGCACGTCTCCATCAACAGTTACCAAGTACAAAGAAAATGTTGAAATTAACGTAAGTGGAGGAAATGGAAAAAGACATCTGGAAACTGGAAAGAAGTCAGTGTGAAATTGACTAATCTGAGATCCATCCTTTTCTCACATAAATGTGGTAATTAATTGTTGAACTGAATTTTTCCATGGAAATATGCACTTCCAAGTTTTTATTTGGTGCAGGAATTGATCCATATAGGTATCAAGAAACACAACTAGGAGTTGGCCACCACCTATAGTGTAGGGTGGGAGGTCAAGGGTTCAACTCTTACTTCCCATCAAAAAGTTGCCACTTAATATGACTTTTGCTTAAGATTCATGTGGGTGCAGATGATCCGATAGTGATTTAGTCCCCGTCAGTTTTCTGTGATCTTGTTGGGTTATCCCCTAGTATAACCTAGATTAGAACTATGAGTAGGTGTAGATGTAGATGATGACAAGTGATAAAAAAAAAAAGGTATCAAGAAATACATAAAATCTACGAGAGGAAGAAATTTGGGCTCCGGAAAACAAAGAAATAAATCAGGCCATACAATCTAGAAAAAGAAAGAAATGAACATTGGACTTCTCACAAGGCAACTCAATTTTTTGATTTCTCAAACCTTCATATATAATCTCTCTTAATACATACAATGCAGTAGTACATATGATTATGCATTCCGACTTCAAAACTGTGATTAAAAGTTTGGTATAAAATTGCAAGTTTGGCAAAATTATGCATATAAATCTGTAGGTGAATAATACGAATATACTTGAAAGTCATAGCACTAAAAATGCAGGTAAATTTTCAAAAGGTTTCAAAGGTTACGCTGCATTAGTATCACTTTTAACTTTTATTCTCGTGTATCAAATATAAAAGTTATTAAAACTTTATCGCCTTATTATATTTACATGTGTAAATATATTGAAACTACTATATACATAGGTGCAATTTTATATATAACTAGAAAGATATTTTATTATAGTTACACATATTTTTATATTTTTTTAAAAAAAATTGAAGTATAATTGGGGAACTATAATATGCTAAAAATTTATTATGTATTTTATAAGATTTTGTGAAAAGTAAAAGTATTTTAATAGTGCACAATATTCAGAAGCTTTTTTTTTTTTTTTTAATTATACGCGTAAACTTGGGCCATAGAAAAGCAAATCCAACCCACTTGGACCAAACATGTGTACTATGAAGAGCCTAAATAAACTGACAGACTAGCCCTGAATGATCACATGGACGGCAAAGCTAAGCTACTAATAATTGAATCATATGTTAAATGACCGTTGGACTGCAGACCTACTCTACCCATCATATGCGGGCACAAACTATCATAACAAAACTTTGCTTTCAATTTTCAAGTTTGGATTTATGTGCTTTTCATGCGTTTGCATTTTACATCATTTTCACATGTTTTTTTGCATTTTTTCTGTATAGTCAATTCCTTAAAAAACTGAGAGATCAAACCAATAAGACCAATCAGCTGATTGGTTGGGGACTTGGGTTGGATTTGGAACTAGGATCACCTTCCCTAAAGTTTGGCCAAACTTTTAGTCAAGTTTAGCAAAAGTGCCATCAATGGTCATGGCGAAATTCAGGAAAATCCCCATTTAAATTATATTTTTTTGGATTTTTTGCAGAAAAATTACTATAGCGATTTGATATATGTGAGGAAAAAATGTGATAGGAAAATGCGTTCACATAAAACGTAACAATTTTTCTCAGAAAAATTGCAATCCAAACGGGGCAAAATTCTATAACTTGGTTTTTCACATGGACCAATGATTCTAACCTAAGATTTTGCCGATAATGGATGTAGAATCTCGAAATGATCTTAAATGTGCAGTGACTCCTCTTTTATCTCTGCACTTAAATCAAGATCAAAATCTACACCAAGAGAAATAAATTATGAAGGATTCATGAACCAAGAGACAAAGAGCTGAAACCTTAAATCCCATTCCATCAACTTTGGACCCACAAATATATAAGACTATTAGTCATAAAATTGTCATAAGCCAAACAACAGCATCTGAAATGGACCAACAGATAGGCGAAAATTAGGCACAAAAGAAAACAAGAATCATTGGCATTGAGAGTCATCACCAAACAGTTTAGCAAGCAGAAGAAGTGAATGAAAAGTAAAGAGCAAGATAGGTTTATGGTGAACCGGCAAACTACCAAGAAGAACATTGATAATGGAATTTATGTGTTGGATACTTTGGAATTTGAAAGGCATTTTTTCTTATTTTTTTCTTTTTTTATTTTAGAAAAAATTTGCATGCGTACACTATATTACAGGATTTCATACCTTTCAAACTATGCGTAGAAATTTTCTAAATTTTTGTTCAAAATTGTGTTATCGATATAAATTTTGTTACCATGTGCTGCTAGGACAAAACTTTTCTACATTTACTATATATACTATCAAGTCTATATGCATCGCATATATGTAAAATTTAAATTTAAATTTAAATTTTACATATTTGTAATGCATTCAGACCTGCTAATGTATACACGGTTAGTGTAAATAAAATAAATCCAAAACATTGACAATGATCAAACTACTCCTTTGACATACTACTCTGTGAATCATGACGAGATAGTCAAGTCCAAGTTAACATGACTGTCCTTGCTAGACTGCTGAAGAAGGTCCAAAGAGTCGCTCGAGGCACTGGACTGCGAGATTAGACGATTACTAGAGGACCACAAGTTCCCCTTTTTTCCGCATTCAGCAATGGATTGTAAAAAGTCAAAAATTCCATTCTCACTTTCTTTTGACGCATAGAAACAACTTGTATCACCTTGTATGACCTGCAAAATGTCATTAAAACTCAAGTTAATTTGTATGTGTTTGGATAGGAGATCAGTTGGGATAATATTTTGAAAAAAATATTATAGCATTTTTTTTATGTAATACATGTAAAATAAAAAAAGTTGGCTAAAAAATATATTTATGATACAAATAGATAAATATGTGCAAATAATTTGCTATCTAAAAAACATTTTAAAACACATAATGCAAATTATATCCCGTGATTGTTGAAACTTTACCCCTTTTTTTATTCAAAACAAAAACTTGACCCCCTTTTTGATACAAACTCTCGCTCTTTAAGTTTCTGCTATGCCCTCCAAGTACACGTAAGCTTATTTATTGAGATCATGTCAAAATGGCAAACATACACGTGTGTGTATATATATATATATATATAGACACACTTACCTCACATCATTATTGTATTAAGAATAGTATGACAATTTAGCAGTTACCACTTACCAATGAAGTTTCACAATTCTAGTTGCATAATGTTGAGTTTATCTTACATCAATTATGGAAGGAGCAGGGTGCTTGATTATAAGTGTGAGGAACATTCTCACCCCTTGAACTGGCTTTAGAGTGAGAAGGCTCAATATCATCCAACATTGGTATCAGAGTCTAGTTATAACGTAATTCAACTTAGGGTTTGATGTGTGAGGAGGAGATTGTTGAGTTGAGTGCTTGGTTGTAAGTGTGAAGGAAAGTCTCACTCTTTGAGTTAGCTTTTATGGCGCAACATCTTCTGTCCCATTTTTATTATATTACTATTTCTCCTCCATAAATATCATATTTTAATTCTTTTTTGCTTCTTTAGATCCAATAACTATTAGCTAAGCAATACACAAAATTTAACAAATTCAAATAATCAAAATACACAAAAGAATGGGATTTTTTTAATGAATTTTCTACCATATTTTTTGATTTTCTATTATATATTACTTTTTTGAAACTGCCGTATTTATTTTTTATTGTGTTAATAGTTATTTGATAGTAAGAAAAAAAAGAATTAAAATATGATATTTATAAAGGAGAAGTAGTAATATAATAAAAAGTAGGATAGAGAGCGGGACAAAAGATCTGTTGCATATTTAGGATGAGAAGGTCCTATAGCACCTAGCACATAAAAGACGTGTGTAGTTTTTATGTTGTTAAAAATTGATATTAGAAACAAACGTACGGAGGTAAAAGGGAATGTAACTTATTTTATATTTCAAGTAATCTTAGGGAACGGGTATTCATATACATATTTGTTTTATGTAGGACCAGATTACCCAAGTTTAATCTTAAAAATTTTGCACCACAAAATTCTTTTATCTATCTTACTTTGGTCCCATAGTTAATTAACAGAGCTTAGAAAAGTTGAAGAAGAACAAGTACTGCAAATCACATTTTGCTCAATTGGTTCCCTTAATTTTCAATTGATTCCCAAACTACACCCAGAGCTTCAGCCTGGCCCTAATGTTACACTCTAGAATGCTTGATTAATTAACCTATTTTAGTCCTATCGGTGATGCTATTACCAAACTGATTAAGTCATGCGTATCTGAGTATGATACTACTAAACATTAGCAATGGTATTCTGCTAAAAGCAAAATTTGCATTTACACATCAAAATGAGTATCTAACCAAACAATTGCCAACAAAACTTAGCCCAACATATTCCCTTATAAATTGTTTAACAAATGTCACTTGATTTTTGAAAAAGTTATTCACACATTAAATTGTCATCTTCCTTATATTAGAAGGGGAGTTAATTGTGTGGGCTGAAAAGCATGCACCTATTTTATCCAATGACTATGGATTGCTAGCTTCTTGTTGTGCTACTTACCACATAGTTTAGCCCAATAGAACATCAACCGCATTCGTGGGCAGAAAATAAGCACTTTCTTCTTATTATTTTTTCTATATTAATTCCCTTTTCTTAATTTCTAATATATTATAAGTACTTATTTTATTTTATTTTGTAGGCCGTAGTTCATCCAAAATACTCTAAAGTTTCTTTTAGATTGATGAATTTGATGAAAGATTTGAAATCTATCTAAATCGCTCCAGTTGTTGGAATCATGTAAGAGATATTTAAATTTGTAATTCACCAATTATCAAAATACCTTTTAAATAGTACAATAGTTGATGATTTACAAATTCAAACACCTCCTAAGTAATTTAAGAAACTAGAGGAATTTGCGAGAATTTTAAATCTTTCGTCAAATCTCTCAATCCAAAAGCTGCCTTATACAATCTTAATATCATCAAACGAACAACGCGATGAAAATTTATGATTGGTGTCATTGAATTCCAAATATTTGACACTCAACTGCCTACGATTTTTTTTTTTTTTTTTTAGCTGTTGAGTGCCTATGATTCAAGTAACATTTTTGGAAGTGTAACAACTAAGGTGAAATAGATAAAACATTTTGCAGCTTTGGGAAAAAGTATCTCAAAATCGGAATTTGAGGTTCAATATGAGTATTTATGTAAAGTCTGAGGGTGCAGAGAATAAATGTGACGCTAAGCTACTGCTTTTCATCAAATTTTCTCAACACTAGTAACTATTGGAACAAAGTGGGACAAATAAAAGAATTTTATAGTTTCTAAAGTCCAAATCATATATGCAATGTGAGAATTGATATAAATTTGTAGGGTATATAATGGAATTAGTCCTTTTTATTATATGCACATTGATTATGTTACTGTAGGAGTAGAATTTAACACTACGAATAGAAGTTACCTGGAAATTGAGTAAAGGATCCCTTTGATTAATAGTTTCGTTTTCCCCTCTGCTTTTGCAAGTGATCGAGCTTTCGGGTTCCTTCCTTTCTTTTGGTGGTCCTTCTTGGTCTTTGCGAACTTTCCTACAAAAGCAAGAAGAATTTGAGCAGACCCTACAACTATGTGTTATGCAACCCAACGAAAAAAAAAAAAAGAGAAAACCCTACTTCCTCTGGACCTCATAATTAGAAAGGAAAAACAAAAAACTAAAGAAGAACATGTACATTATCATTTATGCACTCCTTCGATCGAGTGTTTTTTCCTTTTAGTACGACCTTTGCCTAGAATTAACTATTTTTGTACATTTTTCCTTTGCACAACTCTCATTTGATGTATTCTTGTAAAATTTAAAATAATTGTCAGCATAGCATGTCCATTGAAATAGCCATGTCCGATTTTGATCAACATACATGTATGAAAATTGGAAATAGTAGGGTTTTGATCAACATAAAACCCTACCGTATGGTATAGTATCTAAAAGTTTTGAAATCTTTGGTACAGAAATCAGTTTCCTTGCTATAATCAAAATGTTCCCTTTCCATATAGTTTAAGTTCAAGCATTAAAAAAGAAAATATCTAATATTATGAAGAGATCATGCAACGTTGTAATGATGCATACAGAAAAAAATCTACCAATCAAGAATATATATATATATATATATATATATATATAAAACTATATATAACAGATGTGAAGCTTTAATTAAAAGGGAAAACTATAGAAAAGTTGTTTGCCTTGCATATCACGTACATGCAAATGAAAAAGGCTATCACTGATTATCACCTTGAAGATGAATTAACTTGGCGGTGCCTACCTGGTAAGGGACCAAACTACAGCATCTTGGGTCTCCTCCTCATGCAGCTTCATAGGTACCACTAGGTTAATAGTGGCCCTCTTCTTCATATTTCTATACATCTGAAAAGCCATGATTGAATTTTAATTCAGATTGGATTAATCATGCATATAACCTTTTTCCCTTTTCTTCGTTTTTTCTTTAAATGATCTCTGGCAGCAACACTGTTTTGCAATTTTTTTTTTGCTCAAACAGGCTCATGCCAATTATGCATGCCATAATATATTTTACTATAGGAAGAGAATTCAGTCTTTTTAGCATTAACATTTTCTTTGCGAAATGTCTATGGCATTAACCTGAATACTAATTTGCTGCATTAATCTTGTAGATAATAATTCATCAGTTTTTCATGAGATTACCAAAAAGTTAAATTAATGAAATGAAATACATATGAGAGGAGGCACCTTGGTTCACATGGTAATGTTCTAAAAGTGGACGAGTTAATATGCTAGTATCAGATTGTCTACTCCCAAATAGTAGTTAGATATTTGGGTACCCAATTCTTCTCTGCTTTCATTTATGTTTCTATTTGAGGCCAAAGAAGACCAAAACGATGTCAAATATCAACAGCAAATAATTATAAATATTGATAAAGTGGAAACCTTACTGCTTACTCTTTTTTTTTTGGTCGACTGGGAGGTATTTTGACCTAGGCAGAATCACCTGAACCGGCCAGACTACTCCTCCCAGGCTGTGAGAGCCCGCCCCAAGGATCACAGCACGGATTAAACTACCAGATTTGGTGTTTACAGGATTTGAAGCCATGCTAGCTAGCATATAGATTAAACTACCGGGAGGTAGTTAATTCAAGGTAAAATTTGTCAACTGAGTTGTGATTGTGATTGATCTAACTCCAGATATAGATCAAGTGAACCAATTTTCAATCTAAAAGTGTCTAGGACATGTATGCTTATGTGCAAGCTGCCAGAAAAGAAAATAAGGGATAGAAAGAAAGCGAAAAAGGACGTATGGAATAAAGCAACAAAACAATCAAACAGTTAGCTAGTTACTGAGGAGCTAGGCCTGATTCCGTCTAAAAATGATGAAAGGATAGGTGTCGTTTCCTCAACATCTCAACTGGCACATGTACAAGAGGTGTCGGAGGTAAAAAGTGGTCAGTGAGTCACCAAGGTAAAAATGCAGATGCTGGACAGGTTCCAACACCTCTCCATACGACCTCGACCTCGAGGTCGAAGGCCAGGATGCAATTCTTATAGCAAACAGAATTTCTTGCCTAATCCACCGGCCACGAGGCAGGTGTAAATATTAGCTTCAGCCAACTTGAACAGATCTTTTGGCGGGCTTCTGATAGTTTTATACATTTATGGATACAAGACTCTCTCACCCTCTGCCCCTCATTTTTATACACCGGACTCTAACTTGGTCGTCGGAACCCATTCCGGGGGATTTAACCCCGTTTTGATCTTTTTCAGCTGAAAGCAAGTGGATTCTCCCGGAGTCCACCAGGCAATTCTTCTTCCTCCAGTATTCTATCATTATTGCAGATTTTTGCTTCTGCAATATAGCTTCCAAAAGTTGTGGGGTCGCAATTATTGCGCATTGGTGCCGTTGTTTTGTATTGCGAAGATACTCATGCATTGCATGCTTTTTAAACTTCAAAATTTTTGTGAAGAATAATGAAACTATTGCCCCTGCATTTTTTTTTTTTGGAGAACTTAAAAAACTTTTGTTTCTGCTGCTTATGCCTTTCATTATTAATTGAAACCCATTTTCGCCAGCTGAATTTCTCCAACATTAACTTGGACTTTCAATTTAATGCCAAGAGCTGCTAAACGTCTACTTCCTTTTTCTGTTTCTCTTCATTCTGTCCATAATCTCTTTCTTTCGGGACTTCAGGAAATACATAAGAGTCCAGAAGTCTGTGTATACATAGTATTATCCTGATGCATTCTTCGACCCCATAATACTGATCTTCATTTTTTCTGATTTTATTAGCAGAATGCAGTAGAGAGTATTTGACATATATAAAAATGCGAAGCACATTGATTTTGAGACCGGCCCAAATTTTAAACAATATTGTCTTTCCAATACCCAAGGCATTTGGTTGTCTATCCTAATTTTTTCTCTCACTCTTCTCAAATGAATACAATATTTTAAACACCTTATATACTAAACACAAAACTTAGTGAATATGAAACTACTAAGAGGAGATACTACTAAATGATTACACCATAACCTAAACAAGTAAATTACTAAAGCTTGAATATACATCAAAACTTCTAAATTAGAAATGGAAAATATCAGCTATATATTACGAAGTTTGGTCTTATTATGTCAATAAATATCTTAATCATGTCAGTAAACTAAGTCCCCGAAAAGGAAAAAAAAAGGAAGTTTACTAAATTCTCTCCAAATTGATCTATTTCTTCTTCTTGTTCAAGTTTTAGTTACAAAAGAGCACATGTTAACCAAAGCCACAGTATCAAAATGAAGAGAAATTTGAAGAAAAAGAAAAAGATTGGCTTGATTGATTGTTGTACCTGCAGATGACTTTTGACATGAGACATCTGAAGTCCGCTTACACCCATCATTTGCACGATTCCCTTTGGCGTTGCTTCTGAAAATTTTACTGGTTCAATCACATATTGAACATATACTACTACACCAAGCAATGTATTTATTCACATAACCTTAATATATTACTACGTTTGAGAAAAATATATGAAGTCAAACCTACAACAAACTCTTACATAGCATTAGCTAGATGATTTGATGCAAAGCAGAATGGTTAGTCTTGTTTTCAAATTTTGATCCACTCAACAAGAAAATACTCAGATTGTAGATTAATATTCTTGCCATACTACTTGTCCTTCTTTATGAAACATAACATTTAAGTAAAAAATATAAAATGAAAATGGTTTTTCTCAATATAGCTAACTAATTTCCAGTATCTGGAACTTACTGTGCTTTCCACCAAGGTGTTCTACAGCTTCAATGAAGTGCTCATGAAGCTCCTGCGTCCACCGGAGACGCGGAAAAGCCGATTTCTTATACTTCCTGACGCCCGTTCTATTACACATCTCCATATTCTGCAGGTTTCTTGGACATCCAGGAATGTTGAACATAAATACAAATGAGGGTTAGACCACTACCACATGTGAAAAGGATAAGATGTTTTGGGGGGCTTTGACTTTTGTGAGCCTGAGCAGAATTTGAGAAAAATTCTCTACTGCCTCAACATTAGGGGAAAAAGAATGAAAGAAATAATTGAAGCAATTATTGTTTATTAGTTTGAAACTTGGTTACAAGTGACTCGACCATTTGATCTAACTACCTCTTGATTGGATCTTTTGAGATATTCAACCTTAATAGTTTTTTGAATTGGTGTTCCCATAAATAGTATAGGACTAACTATAGCTATGGTGTGCTCAAAATTCTTTGCTTGAGAGTAATTTCTTCCTACCAGAACAATTCAATGTGACTGAAACCTCAGTACGTCAAATTGACAATATTGTTACAGCCTACCAAACATTTTTGACTTGTCGGCTGATTCTTTGACTAAAATTTTGTTCAGCTAGATATGTGCTTAATGGCCCGTAGCCCCATATGCTCATAATTGAGCACAATTCAGTTATTCGTTTGAATTGTTATTTTTAAGAGTTTTTATAGAAAAATATACTATAACGATTTGATGCATGTGAAATAAAAAGATGATCAAAAAATATGTTCACAGAAAATATAAAATTTTTTTGAAAAAAATCACAATCCAAAGAAATATTAGTAGACCAAAAGCAAAAGATTTGGTTAACAAGTGCCCATTTGAAAAAAGTGTAGTTAAGAGAGATTTCAAGTGTTATTTTTTTTTTAAAAGTGAATTAATTTTGAAAAATATCTGAATACGGAGGGTGCAATAATTATTTTTTTTAGTGTAAGTGGGAGGGTGCTATAATTGTGATTATGTGTGCAATCACATGATAAGTTAGGTATAATTTAGGTATGTTAAAGAGTGCCAATAGGTTTAGAAAAAATTTATATATATATATATATGTATATTTTAATTTTTTCCCTAAAAAGGTATATATATTAAATGCCAAGAAAAATGACTATATCTTTCTATCAAAAGGCAAATCATGACTCTAAGACTTAACTTTGTGTAGTAGAATAGTCAAATTTAAGAATTCCTGTGTCGGAGCAGTCTGGTACCTAATTCATGCAAGTTGATTTGCCCGGATTGGACTATTTGACTCAAAGTTTTTTTTTTTTTTTTCATTTTTTCTTGGTTCCACTTTTTGCACGTTAAATGCGGTCAAAATAATCATGCCTGTTTGTCAATTCCACGAAAGAAGTGTCTCGATCTATGATTGAAGAAGGGTTAGAGAGAGAACCCACGGAACGCATTATTAGGGTCATTGAATTTGTTGAACAGGTAATAATTTTACCAAATAAATTTTCCTCCACCGTATTTAGTTTGAATTGACATTCACGAATTATTTGTGTTATGTTGATGCCCTGTGATGTGATGACAAAAATTACGCATTTTTTGCACGAAATATTTTTATTATTAAATTTCCAGGCAATTTATTCGTTTACGATCACCAAAGTCACTGAGGAATTCAAAAATAAGCTAAACAAAAACGGCTTTAATGGGCCTCTAGTACTGGTCAGCAATTGAGGTTGAGTTTGATTTAGATGCATTAATTTTTTCATAAGATAAAACAAAATTGATGAACTTAATCTTCCCAAAGAAGAAAGTAAAATAGAATAAGATACTTACACTCCACTCAAACCACGCATACTTTTCAATGCTGCCGTAATTGAATACATAATAAAGCCACAGATCTCGTAGCAAACACACCAAGAAAAATGAATGCCAAAATATGATGAATTAATTGTCATGATTAACTCACTAATAACATTATGATTAGGATATGTTAGGTTCACGAGTAAAGGGTCATATCCCACATTGGTTTGAGAGATGGAGAAAGAACGGTTAATATATAAATAAGGGTTCAAGACCTAATACGTTAAACTTTTGGGTCAGAGTTGGTTCCTGACTTGTATATTGGGCTTTTTGATGGACTTTTTTGATGTGTTTCTCCCTATCAAATTGGTATCAGAGTTTTAGGTTGCAAGACTGGACTACTCATGAGCAAGTGAATTCTTCTCGGTGTTGGATCAGTAAAAATTCTCTTCTTGGTGGTGGACCAAGGTGCTAGGGAGTTTGGCTAATGTTGGATTAGGTGCGCCATGAGTTTGGCAAAGGGTCCAGTTGGTGTGAGATGGAGACAAGGGCTAGCAGAGGTGGGCTTGCGTTTAGTATTAGAATGGACTTAAAAAAGAGCTTGTAAATTTGGATTTAATGTAGGGGTTACTCACGAAGGGAGAGGTTTGTTAGATTCATGAGTAAAGGCTCATGTCTCACATTGGTCCGAGAGATGGAGAAAGATCGGTTAATATGTAAGTAAGGGATCAAGATCTAATAGTTTAATCTTTTGGATCAGAGTTGGATTTCTTACTTATATATTGGACTCTTTGAGGGACTCTTTCGAAATGTTTCTCCCTATCAGGATATGATTGCATTTGTTTAAGTTCCGATGCATGTCCCACAACCTAGGACGTGTACATTTTTTTATTCAATTAATTTTCTAGATAGCAGCTAAAAAGCCTAATGCATAGTTAAAGTTCCATCAACTGGCAAAAGCAAAGCAAATCAGTCAAGGCGTGAATTGTAGAAGAGATGCCAAACATAAAAAGGAAACCTAAAAGGCAAGTTTGTCTCGATTTTTATACTATCACTTCCATGTAAACGACAAAAGACGGTGCCTACTTTTGTACCCATATTTTCGTGTTATGGGCTGCCTTGTTCAATGCCAAATTGCACCAAAATTCAATGTGGATGGAAAACAAGAAAGCTAACTGAGCGATACTTTTTGCGGCTGTTGCTAAAAATTGTTAGAGCTCCAACTTCATTGGGTGATTCTAGAGCCGCCAATGAAGTTCATGTGCAAACTTTTCATCAAGCAGTAGTTTCAAGAGATCATATCGAATCAAACAACTCTCAAGAGTAATGTTTAGATGAAGCATCTCCATAACATATGCCTTATGATTTGAGGAGACTGTTGGCTGCTATATTGGTGTACTTAACTGCGGCTAATAATGCTAACGAGGGGTGGCAAAAATGTGAAATTCGAATACTTCCGCCAAGAAACCATCAGTCTTAGGCTGATGGCCACCACCAAGCCTTTAAGGCTTTGGTGGGGTGGGAGGCAAGGTTCAAACCTCCCACTAATTTGCCACAGTTGTGGTTTTTCAAAAAATTCAGATGGGTGCGTAGTGCATCCGTCTGGTCCGGTGGTGGTTCTGTTCCTATCGGTCCTTTCATAGGTCCAGTTGGGTCTCCCCCGTAGTTAGATTAGAATAGAGTAGGAATAGGAGTAGGATTGACGATTGACAAAAAAAAAAAAAAAAGAATACTTCCGCCAAGCATCAAAGGATGATCACGTTTGCTATCAATTTCTACATTAGATAAGCAATTTTTTAGGTTCCACGTGCAAGGCAGACAAAAAGATGCAAGACACACTGGCATATCAAATATGCATCGATCAACTTAATTCTGGACAAAGAATTGCTTTTATTACAATGATAGATGCTGTATATGTAAAGAAAAGAACATGTTTCTTTATAGATGGTAAATATATCTCTATCGAGATTTACATGCTGAGGTTTTTTTTTTTTTTATTATGAAATATCATAATTTCATTAATTTGCACTAATGGCAAAACTTATATCATCAACCATACACAAATATCAAAAAACAATTTGAAGAACAATAAAAGTTGTATTGTAAAGCTTCAAATTTAAAAAATAAGATAAAATAATTGTAATTTTATGAACATCTGTGCATGATTCCAATCGTCATATCTGCTGATTAACTGCTTCAAGTCTAGATATTATGGTGAAATTTGCCGAACAGGTCCAAGAAATTCTAGATCTGATAATCAAAATTTGAGAAAACTCAAATCTAATAAAAGAAAAATGAAAAAATTATAAAAAATCTCACTACTAATCCTTAGGAGAGAATAAAACTCTCACTAAAAAATTTAAAAAAGAAAAAAAATTCTCACTAAACAATCCCAAGGAGAGGAGAAACTCTCACTAGAAAATTCTAGAAGAGATTTTGTTTATACAAATGAAAAGAAACTACAAAAAAGGCTCCTCCTATGGCAAAGATCAGAAAAATCTGATCTCTCTCCTATGAGAGAGTTGAAAGGAGTTTTAGTTAGAATTTTTTTTTTTAAAGAGAAGAAAGAGAGAAGGAGGAGAGAAGGAATAGTATATTTGTGCTTACATGTCAATCATTTAGATTTACTTGCTGTGGTTAGGTAGTAGATAACAGCTGATAGAATTATAAATAATCGAATTGTTTCATAGGTAACAATCAATGTGGAGTAAATTGATAATATATTAAACACAGTTTGTCAGATCTAAACTCCCAAGACTTTGAAAAAACCAACATTCACCGGGCAGAAATCATCAATATATGTGTAAAAGGAATCTAGAGCTAAAGAGCATAGATCACATTTTTTTTTTAATAAAAAAAGCTTTCTATTTCAGTCTTGTATTTCATATTTTACTCTTATCAGGTTTGATATGATCTTACCACATATAAGTCGGATAAAACCTACACGACATCATCAGTGTCACTTTTCCAGTGATAATTCAGTGTCACTTCTATATTTATGCCAAGTGTTCTATTTATTTAATTTATCATGTGCTATTTATCTAAATTTATTACCATCACGTGATAAGTGGAATTGACATTGGATTTGACATCGAGTAATGGCATAGAGGATTCCAACTGGATAAAACCAAGTTGATTTGCACCAAAACATGCTATTCACGAGAGTTGATCTAACTCTTGCAATGAATCATTCTGAAACTTCTTTACACACTGAACTCACGGATTAGAAAGTGGGATCTTGGAAAATAAAACATGTAAAAGGAGCTATCTCCCAATTTCTTAAATCACTAGGAATTCTCCATCCCAAAGAGAATTACCCAAGCACGAATAAGAGTAAAAACTATGATGAATCATAATTCAACAAGGTTGGAATTGCTACCGCCTATAATGTTGATGCCTGCAGATGTTAAATATGCGCAGCCTCTCTTTATTCTCAAATGATCAAGAATGTTA